ACATTTAATTTTTAACTCACAAGGCATTTGCTTATTTATTTTCATTGTTCTTGATAATAATTCTAAGCCATTAGAGGGGAAAATTATATTCAAAAATGCTGTTTCACACTTTATTTGTTTGATGATTTAGAGCGATAGAAAGTAGCACATTTGCTGGCTTTTATAGTCTGATAATTATTCACATCCATCAAGCCATTCCAGGGGAATAAACAAAACACTGAGAAAATGACACTATTAATAGCATCCTCCTTGGCGGACAGGAGACTTCCCGGCTGTGTTGGTAAAATGGAGGCTGCCTGTCCCCTGGCCAAGGCGAGCAGCCTTGGCCACAGAAGATGCCTTTCCTTTTAATCACCTGGCTCTGAGGCCTCTGCTCACCCAGCACCCACGACGTACCCCGTGTCACAGTCCCTGGAGCTTCTTTATTGGTCCCTGGAGTCTGCCATGACCTGCATAGACGGAAGCTCCCAGAGGTAGGTCCAGGGCCTGGAGGTATCCCTGAGCTGCCAGCCTAGACTGAGGGCCTGGTCTCAGCAGGGTCTGGCCAGATGTCCCACCCCCTGACCTCAGTGTTAAAACAGGAACATTGGACCAGATGACTCACTTCTCCAGTGTCCAGTCTTTCCAGTGTGTCCCTGAACTTCAGTAAACAGGTCAGACTCTCTAATGAGTTTTAAGCTGGGGACCCGGGCCTCTGCTGTTGTCCCATGGGTGGGTTTACAGGTTTCAGCTTTGCCTTTTTTGAGGTGGCCATGAAGGGAGGGTGCATCTACTACCCCAGATACCTCAAAATGTGAAAAAAGAAACCTGGAGAGGCATAGGAGGTTGGAGACATCCATCTTCCTGGCCTGGCCTAGCCCTGGAAGGTGGCATCCGAACGTCAGTCTGGCAGTTCATTGTCCTACCACCTGAAGCAGTGTTTTCTCCTTCCCTCCCTTCTGGTGGGTGGGTCTGTTGGTCGGTCCATTGTTAGAACTGTGAAATTGCTGGACTGTAGTTGTTGTTGTTTTAATCCTCACCCGAGGATATTTTTCCATCTATCTTCAGACAGAATGGGAGAGAGAGGTAGAGCGAAACATCGATGTGAGAGAGATACATCGATTGGCTGCCTCCTGCACAACCCCCACCAGGGTCAGGAACCGAACCACAACTGAAGTATGTGCCCTTGACAGAATCGAACCCGTGACTCTCTGGTCCGCAGGCCATTGCTCTAACCGCTGAGCTAAACCAGCCAGGGCCAGACTGTAGTTGTTTTTTAACCATCATGTGGCTTTTCACATGTCTTGGGTCCCCATGAGGGGGCCTGGTTTCTGGGCTCTTGTCTCTCCCGTTGCATCCCAAGAGCCTTATAACTAGTCTAAAAACATGTTATTTTCCTACCAAAGTCCCTGATATTTGCAGACAACTGCCTTTCCAACAAGGGCGTCTGGCAAACGACACCGTGTTTGTCTCTCTTGGCCTCTTCGTCGATTCCACGACATTAAACCAGAGTTATGGAGCCTGTCGAGTCCTGCTACAGCCCCTTCAGGGTTACCTGGACTGGTTGCCAGGATATCATTCTGACCATGCAGCCAAAGATAAGAACTGAATTTTCTGTGACTTTCTGGTTTAGAGTCATCCAGGAGTATTTTTTGTGTAAAAAAAACTTCAAAAGCAGTGAGAAAGTAGGGAGGGAGGGGCTTTTAAATATAAAAATAAGGACATGGGTGGATGGGGGATAGCCCTGGAGAACGTTCCAGAGGGGCAGTTCTGGCCTGGCTAACCTCAGGACCAGGACTTGCCATGTGTCTCAAGTGCTGGTCATCGCGTCCCCTCAGAGGTGCCTGCTGTGACTGCCCTCAGCCACTGATTTAGAGCCAGTTTCCCACAGGCAGGGCTGGGGTTGTGGCCGGAGGAACCTGGGTGACTCTGCACAGACAGCCTACCTTTCCCCCATTTCTGCCTCTACTTCCGAAGCCCCCTGCTCTGTTCTCCCTTCCATTCTGCCCTATTCCTTTCTCCTCATATCTCCAGATTGTTCCACCACAACTTGTGTGCTGGGCTGCAGTTCCTCACGCCCTGTCACTGGCCTGGAGTGTTGACTGCCCCGGGGGCCCACTAGAGCTGCTCTGTCCTGGGAGGGGGAAGCACGGTGACTGAGGCTGTGTGGGGCAGGACAGGGCCAGCCTTGGAGGAGGCAGGGGGCCGCTGTGTAGCAGGACGTGAGGGGATACCAGCCTCACTGGAGAAGATGCTTGTGCTGGCGGAGAGTGGGCTGGGGGAGCCAGGGGAGGTTCTGAGCAGCACGGGGGCTGAGCTGGAAGAGGGAGAGAGGCTGGGAGACTTCACCCCAGCCCAGTCCTGAGACAAAACGTGTGCCTGGCGCAGGCCAGGCCAGAGCACCCCGTGGCCGTCTGTCCAGGGAAACTACCTAAGAACCATCTGCCGCCCAGCTGACCAGGGCTGTCACATATAAAGAGAGGCTGCCTGGGGTTGCAGGCTGGCAAAACTGATTGGTTTTGGCCCTGAGATGTGACCTTGTGATGGGGACAGATCTCCTGGGGAGTGAGACAAACTGCCCCCATGTTGGTGACCAATATACTGACTCTGTTTTATGGCCCCGAGAACTTGCTCACTAATGTCCAGACAGATGCTGCCTGCCTTGAGGGTTAGCGAACATACTCGCTCAAACCCAATAGCTGCTTCTCCGTCTTTCCTTTCTTTTTCTTCTAGAGCCAGGCCTGAGAGTCTAGATGCCTTGACCTGGTGGCATGATGCTGGGTGGGACTGTGAAAAGGGTACCATGCACTGGGCTCCTTGGGGGCCCTAGGTGGGACCCCCATAAGGCTCTGCTCTGGGGTCCCCACAGGGTCCCGGGGACTTCTCTTCAGTGGCAAGTGTTAGTCCCTGTTGGGAGGCCAGCTCTGTAACTGGCTCACTGGGGCCTCCATGTCATTGGGCTCACCTGGGGCACCCAAAAGATCATCCTTTGTGGGAGAGGGCCCAGTGGGAACCTGAGGCCAACAGGACTAATGGCTGTGGAGCCTTGACTGCCCCCCCCCCTTTGACTGGCTCATCTTCAATGCTCTGTGTTGTTAAGGGCCTGCTCCCCAGTTGTGCCTGCCTTCTTGAAAACTGAGGTTTTCATCTTGTCGCGTATCTGGGGACTGGGCTGGCAGGGCATGTCATTGGTGATGGGGCTTCTTGGCACTACTGAGGCTGTCACTGGATTGTTCCAAGCACTGGGAGGCACTACTTGCTCTGGGACATTGTAGCCCAGGAGTCCCTGTGGCTCCGGCTTCCCACCCTGGAGTCCTTTCTAATCTCCCCAGGGGCTGCTCTCCTGAATGCTCAGCCCAGTGTCCTGCAGTCTGTACTTTTCGATAACAGGAGCCATGTCCCAATGTATTAAACTTTTAACATCCACCAGATTCAATTAATCTTATCTTTACAACTCCCAATTACAGGCGGTAATTAAGTGAAAGCAGCATTGTAGACTGGGGATATTGCATTAATCATCACAGCCTTGGTGCCATGAGTTGGTCCTTTCAGTCCTCTGGCGTCTTCCCAGAAGGGACAGAATGTTTCATTTCCCCGTTTGGGGGGACGGTAATCCCACAAAAGTGCTTTGGATTGGGGCTAACTTTTATCGTCTTTGTGTAAATGATAAAAGGCCATTTAAAAAAGAGTAACCTCATCTTTGTCCCCGCAATGGGAAATTCTGACAACAGAGTTGAAGGTACTGCAGCCATCTCCTCAAGGGCCCCAGAGCATGCCCAGAAATTAATTACTTTTATCCTGTTAGATTAAAGACAACACAATACTCAACTTACCTCCTACCCTCGCCCACTTTTATTTTATTAAAAAGGACTAATAAACACCTCAATTGGAATAGACTTAATGAGCAACAGCATCTGAGTGATCTTCCATGCTCCAGGTGGTACCCATCCTTTGGCTGCACCACAAGGAAGGAAGGAGGGAGTGGCCTGATGATGCATCCTCACTTTGACTCATTCCAGAATACAAGACGGGCCTTTTTAATTCTGGAACAGTCTGTCTTCCTCAGCACTATTGACATTTGAGTCCTGATCATTCTCTGAAGGGGGCTGTCCTGGGCACTGTTGGGAGTTGAGCTGCATCCCTGGCCCCACCCACATGATGCCAGGAGCATCCTTAGTCATGACAACCATGGCAACATGGTCCAGTGTCCTCTGGGGGGGACAGGATCACCCTAGTTGAGACCCACTTTCCTGGAGTCCTCCTAGATGGGACCTGGGTATGCTTAGCTCTCTCTCATTAAGGATTTATGGCCCAGTTCTGCCTGTGTTTGTCTAAAAATTGAAGATTTCATTTTAACAAGTCCCCTGAGGTTGCCTGGGGGTGGCATGTCAGTTGGGTTAGGACTTCTCAGCACCCCCTGACCCCATTCTGGGGTCTTGTCCCCCCCAGTTTCTTCACATAGCATCAGTGGGATGTCACTGTCGCTTCGTCTGTTTGCAAACTCCCACCTCACATTAATTTTTACTTATGATGGAGCCTCATAACCTTTCAAATGTATAAAAATAAAACGTATAAAGTGGATGACAGATGAAATTTTTCTCCTTTCTGAAACTTCTTTCCCCTTTGGCTCCTGGGACTAGGGGGACAGGATGGTGATGCAAGGCAGCCAGGGTCCCCACCCCTACAGCTCCAGTCCAGTGCTTTTATTTTATTTTTTGCTTATTATGCCTCTTGAAGGTTTAGCGTTGCTTAACTGGGAATGTCTTCACTCCTGGCATTTGAGAGTGCTTTCACAACCCACCAGGTCCCTGGTCCTTAGCCCTCCCACCTCAACAACCTCTTCTGTGTGGAATTCCTCCTCTGACAGCCGCTCACTCACCTCACAGCGCTGACCACAGCCGCAGTCACTTCTGCTCCGTGCATGAACTGTGTGTCTCTCCAAGGCCACACGGGCTCTCCGGGGACTCTCAAGTGTGTGGTAGCCGCATGAGTTCTCTTCTGACGTGCCTTCCTTCTTGTAGGTACGCCATCCCACCGGAGCATGGCAAGCGCCTGGAGCGGCTGGCAATTGGTAGGTGTCTGCGGCCGAGGGCCGGGGCCTGGGACCTGGGGCCTGGGCAGGGCAAGGGGGGGAAGGTGGGGTGGGGAGGCAGCAGTCATCCCTCCCAGGTTTTGCTCTGTGTTTGGGATTCAATTTGTGGGAGCTGCAAGATGTCACTGTCTTGTTTTACCATTTTCTTGCACCCTCGTGATCAAGTCCATGGCCCTCTGCTAGGGGGTTTGTCACTTCATGGGTTCTGCACAGAATGCTGTTATTTTAAACACCCTTGTTTTCTGGTTGCTTAGCACAGAGTTCTTGGATGTGACCGCAGGCTCCCAAGGGCCAGGGAGGGCAGCTGCGTTCTGTCTTCCTCCTGATGCTTGGTACTGCATCTTGCCCTTTTCTAAGTTTTCAAGTCTTTGTTTAGTCTCGAAAAGGAGATGTGAGTTAGGAGCAACCTCAGCTGGGCCTCGGAGCTGCATCTTGACCACAAGGCCCGTGGCATTTTGTGTGGGGTTCTTACTCGCCTGGACTCCTTCATCACGTATCCCTTCCAGCAGCCACTGTCTTACCACCTGTATTTGGACCCTTGCTGGGGCCACATGGGGCCAACAGATTTGTCTGAGGGAGTCTCTGGCTGTGTCTGGAGAGGGGGGACGGACCACACAGGGTAGGGCCTCAGGGTGAGGGATTTGTAGAGACCTGCCAGACATGGCTAGGTGGTAGTGAGGCCGCTAACAACCCCGATGAAGGAACTGGGCAGGTGGTCTTCCGCTGCTCCCCTTCATGGCATCCTGCTTTCTGTCCCAGTGCTCTGGCCCTCGATTGTTACCTGGAGAGCCAGCCCCTTCTTTGAAGGCAGCACCCAGGTGGGGGTGGTGTAGGCCAGGTGATTGCTTGGGAGCTGCTTCAACAGTCCAGGGCCCATCTGATCATCCTGACTCTCTGCGCTGCAGTGGTGAGCAGCCCAGCCCTCCCGAGGTTGCCCCAGAACCTTCTGGAAGCCATCACTCAGCATTGGTGTAGGCTCCCTCACTGCCGCTGTAGTCCTCTGGCTCCTCACACCTCACCAAAAAATGCCCGTCACACTCTCCCTTCCCATTGGTGTTTTGACTTTGGAGATGGGAATGGTGGGTCTTTCTGGAAAAATAGGGGCCTCCTGTCTTAGGTACACTCTGAGCTGTGTGACTGCTCAGCAGATACTATACGCCAGAGACACAGGTCCTGAGAATGGAGGAATGGTGAGTGGGGCAGATGCCCCCAGCCTCCCAGGTGGAGGGTGGTGGTGGTGGTGGACATTTCTGCTGGAGACCTGAACCGTGTCCTCATGGGAAGAGCTGAGCCCTGCTCTCCAGAACATGTTCTCATAGTAGAAATGCCGCAGCTACAGACAGCCCTAGCCAAGGTCTAGTTCACTTACTGCTCTAAAACAAAAACCAAATTAAAAATGTTTTCCCATATATATTTTTTTGTATATCCTCACTGGAGGATATATATATTTTTTAATTTGTTTTAGAGAGAGTGGAAATGTAGGCGAGAGTAGAGAGAGAGATAGAGACATCAATGTGAGAGAGATGCATCAATTGGTTGCCTCCCACAAGCACTCCAACTGGGGTGGGGATTGAACCTGCAACCCAGGTACATGCCCTTGACCAGGAATTGAACCTATGACGTTTTGGTATGCGGGCCAATACTAAACACTGAGCCACACTGGCCAAAGCTCCCATTGTATTTTTAATTTTCATTTTTTCTTTATTGATTTTAAAGAGAGAGACAGAAACATCGCTGAGAGAGAACATCGATTGGCCGCCTCCTGCATGCTCCCCACTGGGGGTTGGGCCCACAACCTGGGCATGTGCCCTGACCAGGAATTGAATCAGTGACTTCTTGGTGCATGGGTCGATGCTCAACTACTGAGCCACACTGGCCGGGTGTGGGCCCCATTATATTAAAAAAAAAAAAAAAAAAATAGACATTTAGCCCTGGCTGGTTTAGTTCAGTGGTTAGAATGTTGGCCCATGGACCAGTGAGTGCGGATTCGATTCCAGTCAAGGGCACGTACCTCGGTTGCAGTTTGTCCCTGGCCCTGGTCAGGGTCCTATGGAAGGGAACCAGTCCATGTGTCCCTCTTATGTCGATGTTTCTCTCGCTCCCTCTCTCTTTCCCTCCCTCCTACTCTATCTGAAGGTAAATAGAAAAATATCCTGGAGACCTGGAGAGTATCACGCTAAGTGAAATAAGCCAACTAGAGAAAGACAAATATCACATGATCTCACTTATTTGTGGAATATAATGAACAAAATAAGCTGATGAACAAAATAGACCCAGAAACATAGAAAGGAGTATGGTTCAGACTGACAAACCTCAGAGGAGGGGAGCGAGGGGGAGGGATGAGATAAAACAAAGAACTTATATGCATGTACATGTAACATAGACATGGACATAGACAACAATGCTGGGGGGGGGGCGGATCGGGAGGAGGGTGTCTAGGGGGGAAAAAGGAAAAATATCTGTAACAAAAATTAATAAAAAATTTATAAAAAAAGAAACTACTTCATACCCACCTTAAAAAAATAGAACATTTAAAAATGTTTAATCCCCACCTGAGGATATTTTTTTAATTGGTTTTTAGAGAGAAAGGAAGGGCGAGACATCTGTGTGAGAGAAACACTGAGATCACTTGTTCCCCCGTACATTCCTGGGCCGGGGATTGAACCCGCAACCTAGGCATGTGCCCTGACTGGGAATCGACCCCACAAACTTTGGTGTACAGGATGACACTCAACCTACTGAGCTACCCGGCCAGGACTAAAATATAAATTTTAATTTAAAAATACAAGTTATCCCTGGCCGGTTGGCTCAGTACTTAGAGTGTCAGACTGTGGACCATAGAGTCGTGGGTTCGATTCTGGTCAAGGGCACGTACCTCGGTTGCAGTTCACTCCCTGGCCCTGGTCCAGGAGGCAGCCAGTCGATGTGTCCCTCTCATGTCAATGTTTCTGTCTTCCTCCTTCCCTCCCTTCCACTCTGAAAATAAGTGGAAAAGTATGCCCTGGTGAGGATTAAAAAAATAATAATTAAAAATACAAGTTAAAAAATATTTTCTCATTATATTAGTTTACTCTTATTGTTGTAAAAAATTATCACAAGCTCAGTGACTTAAAACAGCAACACAAATTCCCTCAATTTTTCTGTAAACCTAAAATTGCTCTAAAAAAGTTGTAATTAAAAAACCCCATAGATTCATTTCCTCACCATTCTGAAGGTTAGATGTCTGAAATGAACATTGTGGAGCTAAAACCCAGGTGTGGGCAGGGCTGGTTCTTCCTGAGTTTCCAGGGAGAACTGTTTCCGGCCTTTTCCAGCTTCTAGAGGCGCCACATCCCTGGCTCACGGCCCCTCCTCCATCCTCACAGCCAGCAGTGCAGCCTCTTCCATCTCTGACTCTGACCCTACTGTCTCCCCCTCCTGAGGACCCTGTGATGACATTGCCCCCCCCCCCCAGGAAATCGAGGCTCATCCACATCTCGGGGGTCTTAATTTAGTTTTATCTTCTGAGTCCCTCTTGCTGATGAAGGGAATATAATCACAGGCTCTGGGGATTAGGACAGGGGCATCTCCAGTGGCCGCTGTTCAGCCTCCCACACCTACAGAGCCATGGGAGAAAACATCTCAGGCAGTCAGCATGGGCATGCTCTGGTGATCACATGGCTGATATCGCCTGACCCTTACCAACAACTTCTTTAAAATTCAGCTGTTAGCCATACCCAGACTGTTGTCACTCAATATGCCATTTCATCTAAAAGTTTTAGATGATCTCAGTGCAAGCTAGAGAACCTAGATATGCTGTGGGGCCACCTGCCTACCTTGATAGTGCCTCGTCCACTGTCCCTGGAACTCAGCCGTGCTCCCTGCACCATTCCTACAGCCAAGGCCCTGCTGTCCATGTAGTTTCTGACACCCGGGGACCTGTATGGCTGGTAGGAGGCTTATTGGCTGAGGCTGGAAGAGGAAGAGTGAGCAAGCTCTGAGGTCTACGGGTGGCCACCCATCACTGCTTCTTGAAAAATCAGGACTCGTTAAGTCACTCCTCAGCAGGGTGGCTGGAATTTGAGAAACTGGGCTGTTGGCAATGGAGTTGGATCAGGAGGCCGTGGCGAGGCCTTCCTTTACTCAGGCCTGCTCTCCCCTCCTCGGAGGAAGGACAAGGAGGTTCAAGGGCATGTGGAGCCTGTCCTCTTTGGTGCCCCTTTCAAACTTTGTTGGGGGCAGGTGTCTCTGACTCCATTATTGAGATGGGTGGAATGAGTTTGCGATTAATATGGAAAATGAATAGCTGTACTCTAAATGGGCTCACTGGGAGAGTTGTGGAGCCCACAGAGCATTAATGTGTTGGCGCATTATTGGTGCTAATCACTTAAAATGTGCGCCTTTATTAGAGCTTTAATGAGAGCCACTTAAACTGTGCATTAAAAAGAGGAACTGCAGAGAGGCCGGCGGGCCAGGCGGCAGGCAGCCATAACTCTAATTGAAATGCTTTTAGTGCAGAGGAAAGTTGCAGGATTCAGTAATCTTTTGCACTTTCCAGAACCTTGCCATTGTGTCCTTGTAGCCAGATATACCATCTGCCAGCATGGAAAACGTCAAAGCCCCCTCTCACTGTGTCAGTGTGTGTGTGTGTGCTTGCACACACATATACACACCCACACGTGAATGTGCCCTCTTTAACCAGTGACACATTGAGAATATGTATTGAGGTCTGGGTCAGCTTCCAGAAAAGTCCTTGGGTGGCTGTGCCACAGGGTAGTTTTGGAGGATGGTGGATGCTCATGGGCACATCCCACACTTCATCCTCACCGAATCCTCATGGCAACCCTTCTTTGCCATCTCTCAGTGATGGTTTGTGATGAGGAGACTGGCTGCCTTCTGGTGGAATTCCAGAACTTGCTTTTCTTTAACCACAGGATGCAGGTGGCATTGGTTTGAGGTTCAGCCAGCAAGTGGTTTGGAAGTGCCCCTGAACTGTGTTAGTTAAACACAGTTTCTGAGCAAGCAGAGCTGATGGTCTGAGTTCTACATGTTTATAAATATTACCTTAAATTAGCTACATGGTATATAGTCTTGGATAGAAAGCATGCCCAAATGAGAACTTTGTAACAGAGGGTTAGGGACCTGAGCTGTGGATGCAGTCAGGGTCAGGCTGCTCTCCCATTTCCCCAAAAGACTAGGGCCTCAGACGGGTTGGTTGATGGCCTGAGCTTCTGTCTCTTCACCGCCTGGTGGCCATGGGGATCATATGTGCAAAGAGCCAAGAGCAGAGCCCGGGCCACTCAGATGGCCTCCTCTTTGGTTCAGACTTGGCCGTGGTATGTGTGTGGGTGGATAGCACCACTCACTCCTCACTGATCACGGCTTGTCTGGTTCTGGAACATCAGCTTCTGTGTCCCGTCTCTTGGGTTGTGCTCTCATGTGGCTGAGTGACCACGTGGATGCAATGCTGTTGCATTTTGGAGATGGTTGGAGGGGAAGTCTCTGTGCAGCCATGAAATACCCTGTGCCCCAACTATGACTGTGTATGTGCCATGGGCGTGTGCCCTGTCACACATACTGCCCTAGCTTGTCTTCTGTTCCAGGTTCACCAAACAAAAGCCAGGGAGTGTCACCATTGCTGTCACTAGCAGAGCACATGGCTGTGTGATGGGGTCCATGTGTTTGGTTCCCTTGGAGCTGTAGGCACCCTGCTCTATGCCCAGACAGGAGTAAAGAGTTGCCCAGAAAGAGATGCCCTGGTCCAGCCTCCTCCCAGGCCCTTAGACTGATGCCTATCTTTTCCACTCCAGGGTTCTTCCCCGGGAGCTCCCAGGGCTGCGACGCCTTTCTGCGGCACAAGATGACCCTCATCTCACCCATCATCCTCAAGAAGTATGGGATCCCGTTCAGCCGGGTACGTAGGGGCTGCTCCAGGAGGGGCTTCTGGCCCAGGTGACCACAAACATCCCAGGAAACTGGCTTTTTTTTCAATCTTCACCTGAGGACATTTCTGCATTTATCTTCAGATAGAGTGGGAGGGAGAGAAGGAGGGAGGAAGAGAGAGAGAGAGAAACATCGATATGAGAGCGACACATCAAGTGGTTGCCATCCACACGACCCCAACCGGGGCTGGGGACAAACTGCAACTGAGGTACATACCCTTAGCAGGAACTGAACCCAGGACTCTCCGGTCCGCGGGCCTATGCTCCAACCACTGAACCAAACTGGCCAGGGTGGAAACTGGCTTTTTAACCCTTAAGAAGGTTCTAGGACAAGGGCAAGCTAAGGAAGGGCCACATTGACTGGGCAGTCAGCCTCCAACTCCTCCTGCTGGAGATAAGGATGGAACAGGGGAGAATCCAGTGGGGCCTTGACTCCCCACCCCCACCCCATTCCAAACCAATACCTCAGCCAGTGGGCTGTCTCTCTGCAGGGTACTGCAGGGTCAGGGTTGGAAAGTGGAGGCGCAGCTCCTGCAGCTGCTTCAGGAAGCTGTGGAGGACCCCAAGACCTGGAGCAGGCCCCTCTCCTCCCCAGTGCGGGGCTGGGTTCCCACTGAACCCTTCACCCTTGATTTCTGGCCCTGACCGCAACCCAGGACAGGTGGCCTTGAAAGAGTGAATACCTGTTTAGAAATGAACTATCTGGGTCTCCCATAGAGGGAGACTAACCTCATTTACTTGGCTGCTCCAGGGACAGGCCTGTGATGAATAGGCCTGAAGCCAGAGAACCTGGTCGGCAGGGAACCCACTTCCCTGTGGTGGACAGGCGCTTGGGGCTGAGCTCCTGAGGCCCCTAGTAGGGCACTTGGACCTGGAGATAGCTCTGCCTTGGGGTTGGGCTCAACAGTCATGCACTCCATTCCTTTTCCAAGGACAGGCCTCCTGGGCAGGAAAGTCTAGGCTTGTGTACCCAATCAATCCAGGCAAGAGGCATGTGCCAGGAACCTTCCAGATAGGCCTGAGCAGACACTGGGGAGGAGGACCTGTGGGAGCCTGGCTTCTGAAGGTTTCCCCAGAAGAACGATCTGTCAAGTATGGTGGCAAGTCCTGTGATCAGGCTCTCATGCCTCACTGTTGCCGAGTGTCAGCAAGTTGGAAATTGCTTCTGACATTTCAATCAAACTGCCGGCAGCATTAGTGCTCGGATCTGGGATTTGTTCTTTTTATTGGGTCCACAACCAGGAAGCGACTCCCAGCCATCACTTGTTCATCAGGTCCACGGGTATTTTGCTTTGAAAAATGCAGGTTTCGCATTTTTCTTTTCTCTGTTTTTGGTCAGAACACTCTTTGTTACCAGGAACCTCATGGACTGATCACAGCATCGCTCATGGGAGTGAGAAGTGCTTGCTGTCCTATGATTTGTCAAGAACATTCTCCAAAGTGGTGCTTCCTGGACAGGGATGCAGGAGTGCTAGTGGGGCTCCCTTTTCTTCCTGAGGCAGCAGGGTGACAGCCCTTGTCTTCGGGCTCCGATGGATGCCCCTGTCAGGGTGCAGTGTGGATCCTGATCTGAGTTCCTGGCCGCCTTCAAAGGAGTGACTCCTACACTCCACCTATAAATCTCTGTAACGGTATTTACTTCTAGAAGAAAAAGCAGATCAATAGCAAGCTTTTTAATAATTAAAAGTGTGTATTTCTGGAATCTGCCATCGACTTGCTCATTTATTCTGTGCGAGTTTGTACAAGAAGCCAAACTCTGGGCTTTCCCTGTGACTGGCGTTTGGGGCTGGTGCTCCCTTCACTCTTTATTACTTTGCCACCCACCCTGTCCATCATCCCCAGGGCCTTCTAATTTACTTTTGGGATAATGTTGACGGCAGTGACATGGAGGACAGACACTGTGGCTTGAAATGAAGCCACTGGGATGTAGATTTCTGATAGGAACATAATCTTCTTGTCGTCCTGAGTGCCTCCTCTGTTCTAGGCCTTGATTTATGGGGGATGGTTGGGACTGAGTAACTAGGCCCCAAAGTCTGCCTTAGCCTAGAGTGGAGGCACCTCTCCCACACCTGGGGATGTCAGGCTTGGCATCCCCAGGACCCTGCTGTGCCCCCAGAAGGCTCTGTACACAGGAGGGGTGTGTGCAAGTTGGTGGTGGAGGAAAAGTGAGATGGGGCTTTCCAGGGTCAGCTCAAATAAGAAAATAAGTAATTGCATTAAATCTAAGCTCCAAATCCTGCTGCAGAAGCAGCCCAGAGAATCCCTGCTGTGGATGGGGTGGCTGGGTCCTTGGGGACACGTGAGTGTTCTCTGCCCCCCATCTCCTGCTGCATGCTTCATGCCCTGCACTCGGCTGTCACTTGGACAGGAATTTAAAAATATAACTTAATGCACACTGACTTCCCTTGATTGGTGCAATTCATTACTTGAAAAGAAAAATATCTTAGTGTTCTTAAGGGCTGGCTTTTCTCCAGGCTGTGTCGGTTTTGATTGATTTTTAACTCTGGTTGGCTTCTAGAAGTCTCCCCCTCCCTTCCCGCTACTCATTCCTTTACCCCCCCGCCCCCACCAGGGTTTGATGTCTCACTGATACTTAAACAAATGCAGTGGTTTCTGCTCATCTCTCTGGGGGAATAAGTAAAGATCAGCAGGCCTGAGGACTCCTACAAATCAACAATAAAAAGATGAACCACGAGATAAATAGAGGGGGTGAAAGGCTTAACAGCCTTCGCACAGGGAAAGGTACGCACAAACCAACATGGCGTGACATTCTGTGGATTTTGGAGAAAGGTGACCAGAGCCAAGGAGATCCCACTGCACATGCCCAAATGCTGAGAGGGGAGCAGAGGGAGTTCTCACTCTGCTCTGGGGGTGCCAGCTGTGGAAAAGCAGTCAGCAGTTTCTTGGAGATGTGACCATGTACCTGACCTGAGACCTTGAGGCCCCCCCTTCCATGTCTGCTTATTCAAAAGAAATGCAAACATGTGCCTGCGAGAAGACTGGCCCACAAGTATTCCCAGCAGCTCTATTCATTGGAGTCCCAAAGTCTGTCCACAGGAAAATGGATAATAGTGACACATCCCCAAGACAAAATTCCCTTTAGGAACAAAAAGGAGAGAAAGACTGATGTGTACACGAGATGAATGAATCTTGAAGAGCAAAGAGGCCAGATGCAGGGTCACAGAACCACCTGGTTCCATTTACATGAAACCCTAGAAAGAAAAAAAAGCATGCTGGTGTGAATAGTACTGGGGTACTTGACTTCCCAGGGTAGCAGAAATGGTCGGTTTCTGTCTGGGGTGGTGGTTACTCAGACTCTGCACAACCTGTGATCTGCGCCTTCTACTGACTATAAGTCAAGGAAAGATGGGCCAATCTGACTTTAGCAAGAGCCTCAGCTTCATGCCACCAGCCTCAGCTTCCACAACTGTGGATTGGGCCAACAGCCCCATTTCCCAAGTCCCAGAGTGGGAATGATGCACACTGGTGTTTGTGGTCTGTCTTTGGGTACAGTTGTCTCTTGGAGTGCTTAGTTGATGGGCTCAGTGGCAGAGTGGCAGGGGGTGGTCAGTGTGGTCATGGAAAGTGTCCCTTCCCTGGATGGGGGGATGAGGCTGCAGCCCCCACCTTTTCCTCCAGGCTTTTAGGTGGTAGTTTCAGAAGCATTGATCTAGAGTCATTGTGGGCCACACCCCATCAGTCACACACAGATCCTGGTTTTAGAGTCTCTTAGTATCTGTTTGTCCTGATCATTTGAATAGTCTAGAAACATCAGCTCACTGTTCAGAGCTCCAACCTTGACATTGTTTCCTTCCACATGCTGATGTGTATCTTCGGTCTCTTTGACCTCATCTGGAAGGCCTCTTGGAATAGAAAGGACAGATTCTGTGCTTATGATGACAAGGGGACTTAGGTCATCTTAGGGCAGGACACTGTACTGCACATGTGCCCTGCCCTGCGCCCAGAGGTTCTGCAGCTGCCATCAGTGACATCTGTCCCCCCGCCCCCATGTATGGGAACACCTCACAGTGGACAGGTGTGACACGGCCACCTTCCTCTAAAACAGGAGACCCCCTTCTCACCAAAAACGAGAAGTGCCTAGAATGGTAGCATCCAGCAGTCCCTCTGTATCTGCAGTTTACCCCTTTGAGGAGTGCTAACTCTGTCTGTCACCTCTGGGTCCAGCTGGGCTATGGTGAGCAGGGCTGGTAGTGAGCTGTTGACCTGGCCGCCACCATACCTACTTTATCTGCCACATGGGAAATTGGCTAGAGCCTGTGAAGTTAGGTAGAGCCACCTTTCACTTGGCAGACTCTGTTGGCTCCTGAAGTTGGGGCTCCCTGGCACTTTTGGGGAACTCTTTGAGCCCACATCCCCATTCTATGCTCCTTGGTGACTCTTAGTTGCTTTTGCTGCCAGCCTGTCCCTGCCCAGGTAGGTGAGCTATGCGTGAACTCCTCTTCTAATCTGGACCTTGCCCTCACCTGTCAGCCTCCCCTCACCTGTCGGACTCTTCTTCCTCAGATCACGCAGGAGGCCGGGGAGTTCATGATCACCTTTCCCTACGGCTACCACGCTGGCTTCAATCACGGATTCAATTGTGCTGAATCGACCAATTTTGCCACCCTGCGGTGGATTGATTATGGCAAGGTGGCCACTCAGGTAAGTGCCCTCAGATGCCTTGAAAGACTAAAAAGGGGGCCGGTCCCTCCCAGCCAGGTCTCTGGGCCCAGGCCTGTACAGTGGCTGGGGGCCTTAACTTTCCATCAGGGTCTGTTTCTGAGATCCCCAGTGAACTTGTCCCCAGAACATTTGTCACTGGGAGGAGTGGGGACAAGGCATGAGTGGAATGGGTGGATGTGTGGCAGATAGGACCTGGGCAGGCCTGAGGTCGGGAGCTACCCAAATCCTGGCAGAACCCCCACATGGCAGACCCCTCACTCTCTGGGTCTGGGGGCTGCCTGCTACACTGCTTCCCTGGAGGATACTGAGGTGAGGAGACTCCTGTGAGTTTTTCTCCCAGTAATTTGCCATTCCTTGTCTCCAAGGGCTGATTATTGCCCAAAAGATGTACCATCTGAACCCAGTGCCTGTTCTCAGATTCCCCTATCTCTGAGTGCACCTGTCTTTGTGGTTTTGAGTGACAGTTTAGAGGGCACTATGGCAAGTCCGCAGAGCTGTTGGGTGTGGGACTGGGTTGTGCCTGCCTCATCTCCTTCCTTTTGCTTGTCTCTCCCTGGAGATTTGAGGTAGCTTTGGAGGTCCAGGTGGCAGGATGTACACAGGGCTCATGAACAGTCAGCTGGGGGATGATGGAACCTTGGAAGGAGAAGCAGGAAAGAGGACTCTCGGGCCAGCAGCAGGCCCAGCCCTTTCCTAGCTGCCGGTAACAGGGGCCTTCCTCCCAGAACTGTCACTGCAGCCTGTCCCCTCCGCCAGGGAGGAAGATGGCAGGCTTCTCCCATCAGGCTGGACTCAAGTTGATCTTCCTCAGGTCATGGGTTTAGCCTCTTCTGGCCCTCTCGCTTCATGGCAAAGGCAGGTCCAGCCACTTGTGGGCGTGTTGCTCTGGCACTGGGGCACATGGACCCAGAGAAGCTCCTCCAGCTGGCCTTACACAGGATGGAACAGGGTGTTTCCTGCCAGCTTCCCATGTCGGAGCCTTGGGTTCCTCCGCACCGTTGCTTAGTTCCCAGTCAGGGCCCAGGGTCAGGACAAATGGTGGGATCACTGTGGAGGGGGTGTACCTGGAACCCAGACCCTGACTCATATAGCATTTTCTAGACATCTAAGTAGCGATGTTCAGTACAGTGGCCACATGCAGGTGAGTCGTGGCCTTAAGATGTGGCCCAACTTCATGGAGACGAACTGTGAGTAACAGGCATGGGGTCTAAGACTCCAGGAGTAACAAAGAACAAGAAATACCCACCAAAAATCCATTTATATTGCTTATGTAGACTGATATTTTTGAATAGCTTAGGTTATACAAAATACATCATGAAAGTGAATGTTACCTGTTTCTTTTCACTTTTGGAATGTGGCGACCAAAAATATTAAGATTACAGAGGTGGCTTGTGTTATATTTCTATTAGGCAGTGCTGTTCTAGATGAATTAACTAGCCTTTGTTTTTCTAATCTGTTTCTCTAGCTTTACTATTTCAGTGCAGTTTAGAAAAGGAAATGGGCTCTGTAGCAAGAAAGACAGGGGAGACTCTCCCAGGATTTAAAAGCATTGGGCTTGCCCTGGCCAGTTTGGCTCAGCAGTTAGAGCGTCGGCCTGAGGACCAGATAGTCACGGGTTCGGTTCCCGCTAAGGGCACGTACCTTGGTTGCAGTTTGTCCCCGGCCGCGGTTGGGGTCGTGTGGGTGGCAACCAGTTGATGTGTCTCTCTCACATCGATGTTTCTCTCTCTCTTCCTCCCTTTCTCCCTCCTGCTCTATCTGAAGATGAATGCAAAAAAATGTCCATGGATGAGGATAATAAATAAATAGATAAGTAAAGTAAAAGTATTGGGATTTTTATACTTAATTCAGAAACTAATGATGGAATTGTCACAGGAGGAGACTCTGGGTATCACTAAAAGAGGAGACATGTGAATATCAGGATTTGCCTGGTTGGTCTAAGGGAGTAACTACCTGGGTCATGTGGTTTTGTTGTTTGCATTACCTGGGGGCACCTTGGATGCTAAGACTCAAGATAGAGAGAATCCTGTTTGGATAGAGAGACCCGAATATGCTATGACCTCCTGTTTCTGCAGGAGCTGCGGTGGAGCCAGGAGCCCGGGGCCAGGCTTTTTCTGTCAGAGCTGAAACTGAGTGGGGCTGGGGGACTGCCCAGATATTAAAAGCTATTTTAGGTTCAGCTATGTGTTCACAAACAAGTGACATTTGGGAAGTACAGCCTTAGATAGGGCCTCCACACTTACATTGCCAGGTGGCATAGCGTGAAGTTACTGAACGAGTGACGCTTGGTGCTCAGAGCAAGCCCGGGTTCAAGGTGGGAATCCAGGCACTGCGCGGGGTTCCCTGGAAGAGCCGGCCAGGCTGCCCAGGCTCCTGCCGCAGGAAGGCAAGGGGTTCAGCCAGGGAATGGCCATTGGCCACCAGGCATCCAGTCACCTCTCAGGCTTTGGGGTACTGAAATGGGACAGCAGTTCCTGACTCTTGCTAGCTCTTCTGCCCCCATTACTAGTGCGGGCTGCAGAGACCATCAAGGTGTCTGGCCGTACAGATAAACTGAGGCATGTGGAAGGCAGGACTGGGGAGACAGGGCAGTCATTCAGGTCAGATGGTGCTCAAGGGCCTGTGGCTCCTCGGCCAGATTTTAGGGAGTGGGGAGGATCCCAGGACTCCTTTTCTGGTAAACCAGCCTGAGCTGCCCCACTCCGTCTGCATTTAGGACCAGTTCCTTCTAGCACCTTCGTCAGAACATAACCCAGGGGAGAAGTTCCATTTCCCAGATGTTAGGGACTATTTTACTTGTTGGTTTGTTACCTTCTTCAAGCTCCTGCCTTCCATTGTCCCTTTTCAGTCATTCTGCTTTGTGCTAACACATTAAAAGCCAGACTCTCACGCTTGGCTGGCCTGTGTGAGTTTCAGGTATTGTCTTTCAGAGCAAGGGTTGCAAACTGAGAATGATTTTTACATTTTTAAAGAGTAAGGTGGCCCTGGCTGGTTTGGCTCAGTGGTTAGAGTGTTGGCCCGTGGACCAAAGAGCCATGGGTTCGATTCTGGTCAAGGGCATGTACCTCGGTTGTGGTTCGTCCCCGGCTCTGGTCAGGTCGTGCAGGAGGCAACCAGTTGATGCGTCTCTCTCACATCGATGTTTCTCTCTCTCTCTTCCTCCCTCCCTCACTCCCTTCATCCCACTTTACCTGAAGATACATAGAAAATTGTCCTCAGGTAAGGATTAAAATAAATAACATTAAAGAGTAGGGAGGAAAATCGAAAGAAGATTATGCAACATGAGATTAGATGAAACTCAAATTTCACCTTTATAAGTAAAGTTTGTTGACCTGTTGTCTGCGGCTGCCTTCACCTGCAATAGTGGAGTTGAATAGCTGCAACAGAGACCGTCTGGCCTGCACAGCTGAAAATATTGCCACGTGGTGTGGGCCTTTCCTGCCAGCCCTGGCTCCAGCCAGTTGGGGCTGAACAGTCACCTCCTGTACTCCCAGGGCCAAGGCTCCTGCCTTGGGAGGCTCCAGATGGGCCTGAGAAGGTGCCAGCAGTTGTGGTCACCAGTAGGATATGCCAAATGGTGAGGCCACAGCTGCCACCTGCAGAGCATCACCATCCAGCCTACTGACTGCAGGCACAGGGGCTCCCAGGTTCCACCTGGCCATAGAACCCTGGAGAAGAGAGCTTACAGCCTGTCACCAGAACCCCTCTGAGGGAGCTTCTTTTGGCCCCATTTGCAGCTGGAGGCTGCCTGGGGTGTGGTCTCTCTCCACCCTCTCACTGCAGCACAAATAGAACACTGACCCGGTCTGTTCATTGTCAAGTTGAGATGCTGTTTCTCTCCTAGATGGTTTAATTTCTGAGCCACTTTACCTACATTAACCCTCGTTACCCATCTGTGCATGGGAAGAAAACACATGGCTGCCTGCACCTGCCCAGCCACCCTGTGGTAGGTGGGGTCCCATTGTGTCCCGACATCAGGACACCTGGGGATATTGGGCCTGCCTGCCTCACATCCTGTGCTCTTGGGACAACCCTGAGCTTTTCTGTCTGTAATAGGGGATGCCCTTTGTTGGAGCTGTCTTAATATAAAATGGGAAAAGATACACAAGAGCACTGTGTGTGGGACTCAGCGCTCGGCCAGTGTCCCTAGTCCCTCAGACTCTGGCTTGTTGGCCCAATCTAGGGTCCCTCCTCGCCACTGTGGACATTTGGGGCCGTTCTGGGCACTGTGGAGGGTTGAGCAGCATCCCTGGCCCCCTCCCATGTGATGCCAGGAGCACCTCATGACAACCACAGATGTGCCCAAATGTGGCCCAGTGTCCCTGGGGGGGCAGGATCAGCCCCTGTTGAGAACCCTGTCTAGCCGGACTTCCAAGTTTCCTGTTTCTCTTTTCAGGCAGTGGGTGGTTGTTCAGTGGTATTTGTGGACTCTCTGACACTGAGGTATCATAAGCTCTGTGTAGTTTCTTTTCAGATTCCTACTAAGGGCATCTCCCAAAGCATTGTGTTCCAGTTGTCCTACTGAAAGTCATTTTCTCTTCTGTGTTCCGCAGCCATGGGATTTGAGGTCCCTTAAGCAGGACAGATGTCAGATATTGTGGCCAGAGATGTGAAATGTCACTTAACAGGCCGCCCCTTCTGTGAGCAAGGAAAGAGACATCCCCCCACTCAGCCTTCAACCCCACACATCCCTGTTCCAGGGATTGTGGGTTTCATTAGTCTCATGTGTTTCTCTTCTCTAGAGAGGAGGCTGGGCCAACAGGTAGCGTTGTGAGAATGAAACAAGGACTCCACAGAGTATCAGTTTGCCTTCTCTCTGGGAACTGTTCCACTTTGAGAAACTAGATGTTAGAGTGAGCCTCCACCCCCATTCTGAGATTCCAAAGTTTTACCAGCCTGCACCCCCCCCCCCACACACACACACGTGAATGGGTGACATCCTCCCCCAAGTGCCCACTGGCTGCAAGAGCAGAGAGCAG